CCTAGCTCTAAATCCTGGTTTCAATCTACTGGAGTTGATAGGACGGGGAAGTGATCTTGAATATCCTGGAGAAAATTGATATCCATCCTTGTGCAAAAGTGGATTATACATATTTCCTACTGATCTAGGCCCCGTCTGTTTAAAGGGAAAGGTCAAAAGACCTGCAGTTAACACCTTAACTATCTTTTCATGTTTTCAATTGGGTTTTCATGGCTCTCACAGCGTCAATGTTCTTAATTAAAAAATAAATGTCATCACGCTCGGAAATATTATGCACTTGTAAATAGAAGTATGGGAGCACTTCACTTTATCACTCAACCCAGTCAAGGGTTTAAAACATACATAAGCATAAACACTTCAATCACTTTATTTCAAAGCTAAAAGCTGAATAGTAACCTGCGGGGTTCAAGAGCTCCGTCCGTCCCGACCGTTCACGTCAAGAACCAACTTGGAACTGAGGTCTGAGAGTCTGAGTATTTGGGCTGCAGTGCTCTAGACTCCGGTCTGGAGTTTTCAGTGTTCACGAACTCAACAGTTGACAGGTTAGGTGTCGGAGAGACGTATTTATTATGAATTTGTGTTCATATATTTTGAATTTGTGTTCATTTATTCTGAATTTTTGTTTATTTTTCACTTATGATGAATTTGTGTTAATTTATTATGAATTTTGGTAATTTATTTAAACTTTTTTTCATATACTTTGCATTGTGTTCATTTATTCTGAATTGTGGTCATTTATTCTGAATTTGTGTTTATTTATTCTGAATTGTGTTAATTTATTCTGAATTTATGTTCATTTATTCTGAATTGTGTTCATTTATTCTGAATTTATGTTTATTTATTCTGGATTGTGTTCATTTATTCTAAATTTGTGTTTATTTTTTTAATGTATTTATGTTTATTCATTTTTAATTTGTGTTCCGTTATTCATTCTGAACTTATGTTTATTCATTGATAATATCTGTTTATGTATTCCTTTTCTGTGTTTGTTAAGATCTTTATAAAGTTTACTCACACTATTCACGTTTATCACTGAATATTTACTCACACTATTCACGTTTATCACTGAATATTTTACTCACACTATTCACGTTTATCACTGAATATTTACTCACACTATTCACGTTTATCACTGAATATCTAATTGTGCTCCTTCCTGTCTTCTGAGGAGTTGCGTCACTCCTAGAATTGACTGAAACTGAACAATCAAATTGAACCAACCTTGCACTTGATTCTTTATCTTTTAGTTTCAGGGTTTTTGGGGAAATCATTGATCCCACGACCTGTCGTGCGTTTATCCTGGGTTTCTTACCTAGTTACTAGATCTACTTCTTACCCCAATCCTGAGGTTCATTCACGTCCTACACCTCATCTCAATCTTAATTCTCTTCAAACCATTCCTGAACTCAACTTCATGCTATTCCTCATTTGGTTTCTCATCCTACTCCTCAACAAGTTTTTAATACTACTCCTCAACTAGTTTCCCATCCTACTCCTTAACTAGGTTCTCATCTTACTTCTCAACTAGTTTCTCAACTCGTTTCTCAACCTTCTCCTCAACAAGTTTATCATCCAACTCCTCAACTAGTTTCCCATCCTTCTCCTCAACTTGGTTCTCATCTTACTCCTCAACTAGTTTCTTATCTTACTCCTCAACTAGTTTCCCATCCTTCTCCTCAACTAGGTTCTCATCTTACTCCTCAACTAGTTTCTTATCTTACTCCTCAACTAGTTTCCCATCCTTCTCCTCAACTNATGGGACGTTCTGTATGTAAGACTGAGCAGATTTTTGGGAGCCACCAGGTAGCCAAAAAATCTTTATTGTTTAAAAACTGGTGAAATGATAAAAAAGACTATTTTTTAAAATTCAATTCCACCTTGCCAAATTGTGAATATTTAAATTTGAAAATCAATATAATTAATTCAGACATATTTTCTGATTATTCCTCCCTGGCTTACCCAGGGTTATCCACAAAGGAGGACTAGTTTTTCAGCCTTCTCCTCATCTAGTTTCTCGTCTGACATCTCAACTAATTTCCCATCCTACTTCTCGACTAGTCTCTCAACTAGTTTCTCAGCAGCTAGGATGAGCCTGATACTTACTGCGACATGGAACAAAATATGGAGACCACTGCCCTTAAATTTAGGCATTACAAGACAATTTACTGTTAAGAAACGCCTAAAAAATTGAATTGAATATAAATAGATATGGACCAGGCGAATTCCATTCGCTCTTCTAACCTTAATCTAACGTTAATGCTATTCTAATCATAGTTTTTCAATCTAAACCTCTGAACTATTCCACTTCTTTATTCAACTTAATTTTTTTTATCTTTATCAACTCCGTTTAAACCGTTTACCCTTTTCCATCCTAGTATTCGACCTTGAAGCGTAAATTTATTGAGAAACCTGTAGAACCGAAACTACATCAAGTATGACATTCATCTAAAAAATGTAAAATAGGAAATTGAGAGAACATGCAACCTAGATTTTGCAGGGAATAAAGCAAAGGAACCAGATTAAGTTCTAGCGGAAGGAATTAAAAAGCGGAGATGCCCCCTTTCCGCTCTGTGACTGTATTTCGTCTCCTTGTCTCTGCGTCCTTCTTCTAGGTTTCTATCCACACCGGAAACCAAGGAGCAAAGGTTAGTTCTTACAGAGATAAATGCAACATAAACCCAAGAAATGTGAGGATTAGAGAATAATATTCAAATATATTGAATGTATGAAATATAGATAACATATCCAGGAATTTTATTTATGTATCCTTATATAATATCTTGTAATAAAGCTTTACGTTATTATATACAGGGTGTCCCAAAAAACATGGGAATTCAGTGACGAATTCGATATCGTCTTTGTTATGCATTAGCATTGTAATACCTAATTTCAAAAGCCTTAACTCTTTTTTTTTAAATTCAAAAATGTTTTTAAAATTCCACGGACAACGCAGAGAACTTTAACTAGTTCCAAAAACCTGAAAATGCTGTAAAAAAAATACAAAAAATGTTCCTTATATATGGTACAAAAATGAATATACACTATGCTTGAAAATATTGTTTACTTAAATATTAAAAATAACTATCATTTTGGTACACGCATTTTTATGTAAGTCCTTAGATATCTTTTTGGTTTTTATCACAATTTTTTATTCGCACTGTTAGATTTTTAAAATTAAATTTCCTTATCAATTCAAACCATTTCAACATTGTTTTTACTTGAAATATAAAGCATTTAATTAGAATAAGAGTGCGGTAAATCATAATTTTTTTAATTCTTAATTAGTAAACTAGACTTTATTTAGATTAGTTCCTACAGTCTACCAGAAAAGAAAATGTTTTATTCTACAGTCAATTATATTATTAGAATTTAATCTAATTACCATCTCTATTTAGAAATTCTAATTGGAAGTAAAAATCCTAATTCCTAGGATTTCATGCACCCTAAATTTGCTTTTATATTTTTTTACTTCTTTTCAAGGATAAGCATGTATTTGCCATTGCATGACACACAATTTCAACCTAAAGATGCACTTCTGATCTCAGTAGGAATAATATGGAGATTGGAGGTCATGTGGCCCATCGTTTTTTGTTCAAAAAATGAATTATCTTTCTTAAAATTGAATATTTTCAATTGTGGTTTCACTGTGACTGCACTAACAGTGACTGGCGGATTTCTTACTTTCTAAATAAACAATATGGAGGGAATTTTGGTCGGAGATAATCCAGTACGATATGGGACGTTCTGTATGTAAGACTGAGCCGATTTTTGGGAGTCACCAGGTAGCCAAAAAATCTTTATTGTTTAAAAACTGGCGAAATGGTAAAAAAGACTATTTTTTAAAATTCAATTCCACCTTGCCAAATTGTGAATATTTAAATTTGAAAATCAATATAATTAATTCAGACATATTTTCTGATTATTCCTCCCTGGCTTACCCAGGGTTATCCACAAAGGAGGAGACTGACTATTTGAAGCTCATTAAATATGACAATATCTAAAGATTAAAATCAAGAACTAAACCCAGACCGAAATATATTTTCAATAAATGTGGAACTAACATCTACTTTTTTACTTTACAGAGGTTTGGTTCATCACCATCGCCAAATTTTAAATAAAATTTATGTTTCGCCTTATATATAAGTGGTGTACAAATTGATTTGGTATAAAAGGTTTACAGCTGCAGTGGGCCGTAAATTAAAAAAAAAACTGAATATTTTTGCTAGAGTCGTCCTTGAAGTCTCAACAAGAATGGAGATCTAGAAAAACCAAAAATGTTAAAATATTTGTTAAAACTAAAATTAAAAAAAAAAATATATTAAAAGAATATTTACAGACACAATTTTTCAATATTGTTCAACATTATTTAACTCGACTTCTAGCTTGTTTGCCATCACAAGACCATTTGATAATGGTTTTTAAATTCTAAGTTTAGTGAGTTGAAACTTGTAGAGAACGTTTATAGTTTCCAGGCTAGGCTGGGTTACCAAGCTAGTTTGATATATATACATGGTAATTTGGTAAATTTTCTTCATTCCATTTAAGAGACTTAAAAAAGGGTTGGAATAAAAAGATTGTTTTTAGATTCGACTTCGAGGCAAGGACAAAACATGTTATCCATGCATACCGGTTTTCTTTATGTTCATGTTCATGTTCATGTTCATGTTCATGTTCATGTTCATGTTCATGTTCATGTTCCAATTTCAACATTAGATTAAATTTTCAATCGTTTTTAAAATAATAAAAAATTGAAAAGTGAAAAGGTTTCATTATTCTCGCTTGTTTTAGATTTATCCAAGAAACTCAATCAAGTGTTTCTAGAAACAAGTATAAAAATATTTTTAGAGAAACCTTTAATATCTTTTCATTAGAGATAGGTATCTTGTGCCCAGTAATTAACCAAAATGCATTTTGATTAGCTGTTTTAATATAAGGTGAGCTTGATGTTGATTTATTTAAACCTACCCTGCATTAACCCAGTTTTATAGCTTTAAAACTAATTAAGTATAAATCATATTTTAATCATGTTTATATAAAAAGTACAAAAATCTTTTTTAAACTGTGAGTTATTCCCATTCTCGAAGTTCAAGCAATGTAATTAGTTAGTTTACGTCTTATTCTTCTTTCCTCCTCCTTTCTTTCCTCCTTTTTTACCCTTTCTTCCTTTCTTCCCTTTAGGTTCTTCTGCATCACCAGAGTAGTCAGATCCCTTTCCTTTTCCCTTTCCCTTTCCCTTTCCCTTCCCACCTTTTCCAGCCTCGCCATCACTATTCGCCTCTACATCTCCTTCTCCATCAGCACCACCATCTCCCGCACCATCACCTCCTTCACCATCTGCGCCAGCATCACCACCAGCACCAGCATCAGCACCTTCAGCTCCTGCATCATCACTACCAGCTCCCGCTTCATCACCACCAGCTTCTGCTTCACCACCAGCTCCTGCATTATCACTACCAGCTTCTGCATCAACACCAGCTCCTGCATTATCACCACCAGCTTCTGCATCATCACCACCAGCTCCTGCATCACCACCAGCTCCTGCATCACCACCTGCTCCTGCATCATCACCACCAGCTTCTGCCTCGCCACCACCAGCTCCTGCACCATCACCACCAGCTCCTGCATCATCGCCACCAGCTCCTGCACCATCGCCACCAGCTCCTGCACCATCGCCACCAGACCCTGCATCACCACCAGCACCTTCTTCATCCCCACCTGCTTCAACAAATTCTGGTGGATCAATAATACTTCTATTAGAATCTGCACTTTTTTCTCCACCTTCTGAATCTGGTCCTGTTGAATCACCACCGCCATTTACATCACGCTCATTCTTAAATGTTTCATAAGCTTTCTGAAGTTCGTCAAATGCTGTGTTAAGGTTCTGCATAGAGTTGATTATCTCCTTGATGGTTCCCTCATTAATTGCAAGCAGCGGGTTTTCACCTGTTGCTCTCTTCTTCCTGGAGTATTGGCTAGCAATCTGATTAAATATAAACTAGTTACTTGTTCTTAGAATTCTTAAATAATGTAAATTCTCACCGGACTATCTTTAGATTTCTCGAGTTCCTGGTCAATAAAGCTTGACATAGAGTTTAATTTCTCCTCCATTTTAACCTGGGCAGCCTCCAGGTTCTTCATAGCTACCTCCCCATCTAAACATCATCAAATACCATAATTTTATTACTGCTGCAATCTACTGTTTACGAAACTCAAAATAATAACTTTTTTTCCCGTTCAGTTGTGATATTCTAAACTTATTTCCCGTGCAGTTGTGATATTCTAAACTTATTTCCCGTGCAGTTGTGATATTCTAAACTTATTTTCTTTTAAAGAAACCAAGTTTTTTTTTCTATTTTCACCACTTTGTTCTGTATCATCAAATATCACATATTAAAGATGCTGTTGGTAAAACATTTTATTATGAACTGTAATGTAAAAATTATTTCAAATGGCGTGGCTTGCGAGGAAACCAGAGGACGAATGTAAAGAATTTAAGCCCGGGCTCAAATATGGTTGGTGCCACTTAAAATTGTATTCAATTTTTCAAAATTTAAGCCGGCGCTTAATTGAAACAGGTTTTTGGAGGATTTGGAACGCGGCTTAAATTCATTAAATTCGGACACCCGTTTTTTAAGAACATTGTTATAAGCATAATAGTTCCTAGTCAGAAACTGGTTCGCGTACAAAATACCAAATTTGTGTACACGGCACTCACAACAACAGTAATTTGTTTATCTACAGTCTAAATTGTACCCCCTTTCTTTTTTCGCGAACTCTCCCTGTAAAGGAGGACATTGAGGCAGATTATACAGTCAATAACCTTGGAGACCTATACTCAAGAGCAGAAAGAAGCAGCTTAGATTAAATGGAAACAAGCAAGGATAATAAAAGGAAAGGCTAAGTTGGTCAGCTATAAAGCGCACTAAACCAGATCACATCACATGACAACATGGTCGCCTTTGCGTTGTTAAATCCACATGGAGTCGACATCCAGAATGACGACATGACAACGTTGAGGACGATGTTGATGCAATGTTTTCCAGGGCGACTTTGTAACGACGCCACAAATAGTGTGATCATACGTCTATTTAAGGGCTTAAATATCATAATTTGATGATGCATCAATGCCTATATTGGAAAGTCAACGTGGAATCAACGTTAAGACGATGTGATCTGATTAATTGGTTGGTACAGAATACTTAATCCTTGATTACAGATCGGGAGAAGTGAGTAGGATGGTTCCTGTCTGGAAAGCACCTTGACCACATTTAAGTATTTAAAAATTCCTGCACAATATCATTCTCAAGTATGTGAGAGCAATTAAACAACCAGCCAGGTAGATAAATAAAACCCCCCATAACGTTGGACCTTGGACAGTAAACATTTATAAGATATGATCTTTTAAACCAAAATTTTTCGAATATTTCTCTTTTTGATTTAAATGTTTTCTTGTAAACAAGTTTTCATCATTAATTCTCAAGCTAGTTATTCATATCTCAACTTTATAATTAGATTCATTCACAAATATACTTAGATTTTCACATTAAAGAAGAAGAAATTCGGAGTAGATAACAGCACAATATAAAAACTAACTAGGAGTTGGTTTTGATACTTTTTGGCTCTGCTCAGCAGAGAAAGGAAAAAAATACATTCTAAAATTTGGATTTTACTACAGTGCACAAAGGGATACAGAAATGCCTGGTAAAAATTGCAGTAAAAAAGCTTACAGAAGAAAATTGCACTTTTCAAAAAACATACACATTTAGCAAAAATAAAGCCCATTTGACTTGGAACTATTTTGCAAAAGCATAAATATATTCTCAAAAGAAACTTACAAATGTCGTCTTCAGGACTTTTCTAAGAATGTTTCTTTACCTGCAGAGTTGAGTAAACCCTCGTTGATATTTCCCAATGCATGTCTAAAACATCAGTTATTAAAATTGTGTTAATGTAGAATGTACTGCATGAAAAAAACTGCTGAAATTTAGTTATTCTCGGAAACTGCTTTATAATTATTTTTAGAAACATGGAAACAAAAATAAAATCGAAGTAAAAATAAATAAAGTAAAGTCGTCGTCGTAAATATCAAAACAATGAAGACGACTTTCTATTTATATTTTGACTTTCTACCTTAATCTTTCCGACAGCAGAGATACATATAATGTAAAAAAGAGAAGTTGCTTATTAACAGCTTTCTTTGTTTCGTTGTAATTTTGAAAATGCTTGTAAATAATCAAAACATTATTAACAAATAATCGTTTTTATTGTATGGATATTATCGGCGACCACTGTAAGTGTAGCGTGATGATACAGGGCTACCCAAAAAGGATGAGATTAAACAAAAGACTACAAAATCTTTAAATATGTTAAATAAAGTTTAATCTTTTGAAAGGTTTACTAGAAGGTTTGGTAAAGAAAAAAAAACTCTAGAAATTCCGTACAGTCGTCTCTGAAGTCTCATCCTTTGTGGGTATTTGATAAAAGATAAAGGTTGTGTGATTTTATTTATCAGAGGTTGCGTGAATTTTCCAGGTTGATTTTTACTTCTAGATTGTGTGATCTGTTACCTGTATGTCATAAAAATGTTTTACGTGATTCTGTTGATAAAAGTTCTATCATCAATAATTCATGAATTTATCCTTTAGTCCCTCAACCCCCCCCCCCCTCTCACCCCTTCATATCGTCAAATCAATTCCCTTTCTTCAAAAACAATCTTTTCCTCCTATTCTCCAATCCTCTCTAACCTACTTCATTTCTCCTATCCTCCAATCCTCTCCATCCTACTTCATTCATCCTATCCATCAATCCTCTCCGTCCTACTTCATTCTTCCTATCCACCAATCCTCTCCATTCTACTTAATTTCTCCTATCCTCCTATTCTCCAATCCTCTCTAACCTACTTCATTTCTCCTATCCTCCAATCCTCTCCAACTTACTCCACTCCTTCTATCCTCTAATATCCTCTCAACCTACATATTATATTCTTCCTCTCCGCCAATCCTCTCCATCCTACTTCATTCATCCTATCCATCAATCCTCTCCGTCCTACTTCATTCTTCCTATCCACCAATCCTCTCCATTCTACTTAATTTCTCCTATCCTCCTATTCTCCAATCCTCTTCATCTCACTCCATTTTTTCCGATCCTCCGATCAATCCTCTATAAATACAGGGTGTCCCACGAAACATGACATTTAAGAAATAGTTATTTTTAGTTAAAAAAATCTTTGCCTAATTATACTTTACTTTGAAATCAATTTTAATATAACATGACTCCCATATAATATTTTCAGTGATCTTTGGTATCAAACAACTGAACAAATAATAAATAAAGACATTTTAAGCTATTCACCAACTGTCATGTTTCGTGGGACACCCTGTATGCTCCACTTCTCCTATCATCCATCAATCAACCGTCTCCAGCTTGCTACACTCTTCCTATTCTACATTCAATCATACCTAATCTACTCCACTCTTACTATTCTCTAATAAATCCTCTTGAATCTTCTCCTTTCTCATATTCTGTTAGAACTACGAAAATATCTGGGAATTACTACAAGCTATAACTAATAAACTGCAGCATAAAGGAGTTAAAACTTTAAGTTACTCTATTTTTAAATGTCGTCTTGCAATCTATTTTTCTGGGAATATCAGCCCTACAACTTACTTCAAGAGTAAAGAATTGAAATATCCTACCCTAGGACGGAGTAAATAATAAATTAATGAATATCCTACCCTAGGACGGAGTAAATAATAAATTAATGAATATCCTACCCTAGGACGGAGTGGAGTAAATAATAAATTAATGAATATCCTACCCTAGGACGGAGTAAATAATAAATTAATGAATATCCTACCCTAGGACGGAGTAAATAATAAATTTATTAATAAATATCCTACCCTAGGACGAAGTAAATAATGAATTAATAAATATCCTACCCTAGGACGGACTAAATAATAAATTAATGAATATCCTACCCTAGGACGGACTAAATAATGAATTTATTAAGAAGTATCCTACCCTAGGACGGAGAACAGAATATGAATTAATGAAAATCCTACTCTAGGACGGAGTAAATAATGAATTTATTAAGAAATATCCTACTCTAGGATGGATAAAAGAATGAATGAATTAATAAATATCCTATCCTAGGACGGAGTAAAAAATGAATGAATCAATAAATATTCTACGTTAGGACGGATTAAAAAATAAATGAATTAATAAATATCCTACCCTAGGACGGAGCATAAAATGAATGAATTAATAAATATCCTACCCTAGGACGGAGTAAAAAATGAATAAATATCCTACCCTAGGATGGAGTAATAAATGAATGAATTAATAAATATCCTATCCTAGGACGGAGTAAAAAATGAATGAATTAATAAATATCCTACCCTAGGACGGAGAGAACCAGGACGAGAGANCTGGCAGGTTGAGAGGATAAGATTTAGATGTGCATACTCTGTAAACTGGCAGGTTGAGAGGATAAGATTTAGATGTGCATACTCTGTAAACTGGCAGGTTGAGAGGATAAGATTTAGATGTGCATACTCTGTAAACTGGCAGGTTGAGAGGATAAGATTTAGATGTGCATACTCTGTAAACTGGCAGGTTGAGAGGATAAGATTTAGATGTGCATACTCTGTAAACTGGCAGGTTGAGAGGATAAGATTTAGATGTGCATACTCTGTAAACTGGCAGGTTGAGAGGATAAGATTTAGATGTGCATACTCTGTAAACTGGCAGGTTGAGAGGATAAGATTTAGATGTGCATACTCTGTAAACTGGCAGGTTGAGAGGATAAGATTTAGATGTGCATACTCTGTAAACTGGCAGGTTGAGAGGATAAGATTTAGAAGTGCATAATCTGTAAACTGGCAGCAATTTTAGAATAAACACAGATTTGAACAACATGTCTATACCGATTACCGGGATATTGCAAACTATAAATTATGTTAGATCAAATAATTTAAGTTTGAAATATCAAAGGTTTACACCATCAGGTTGCAAAGATATTGGGATTAGAAAATTTGAGTTTGTAACAAAGACTTAATTCTATTGGTCTTAAACAACTACTAATATAATTTACAGGTATTTAACCCAAACAATCCTGAATATTTTTTATAAAAGTAAATGAATTTTGCAGTGTATGTATTGTGTCAGGTTTCGAGTTGAATAAAATCAGAGCTGTGGTAAATATCAAACTTATTTTATAAACAAGGATTAAATATTCCTAAACAACTAACAAGGATTAAATATTTTTATACAACTAACAAGGATTAAATATTTTTAAACACTAACAAGGATTAAATATTTCTGAACAGCTAAGAAGGATTTGATATTATTATAAATAACTAAAAAGGATTCAATATTTTTAAAGAACAAACAAAGATTAAATATTATTAAACAACTAACAAGGATTAAATATTATTAAACAACTAACAAGGATTAAATATTATTAAACAACTAACAAGGATTAAATATTATTAAACAACTAACAAGGATTAAATATTATTAAACAACTAACAAGGATTAAATATTATTAAACAACTAACAAGGATTAAATATTATTAAACAACTAACAAGGATTAAATATTATTAAACAACTAACAAGGATTAAATATTATTAAACAACTAACAAGGATTAAATATTATTAAACAACTAACAAGGATTAAATATTATTAAACAACTAACAAGGATTAAATATTATTAAACAACTAACAAGGATTAAATATTATTAAACAACTAACAAGGATTAAATATTATTAAACAACTAACAAGGATTAAATATTATTAAACAACTAACAAGGATTAAATATTATTAAACAACTAACAAGGATTAAATATTATTAAACAACTAACAAGGATTAAATATTATTAAACAACTAACAAGGATTAAATATTATTAAACAACTAACAAGGATTAAATATTATTAAACAACTAACAAGGATTAAATATTATTAAACAACTAACAAGGATTAAATATTATTAAACAACTAACAAGGATTAAATATTATTAAACAACTAACAAGGATTAAATATTATTAAACAACTAACAAGGATTAAATATTATTAAACAACTAACAAGGATTAAATATTATTAAACAACTAACAAGGATTAAATATTATTAAACAACTAACAAGGATTAAATATTATTAAACAACTAACAAGGATTAAATATTATTAAACAACTAACAAGGATTAAATATTATTAAACAACTAACAAGGATTAAATATTATTAAACAACTAACAAGGATTAAATATTATTAAACAACTAACAAGGATTAAATATTATTAAACAACTAACAAGGATTAAATATTATTAAACAACTAACAAGGATTAAATATTATTAAACAACTAACAAGGATTAAATATTATTAAACAACTAACAAGGATTAAATATTATTAAACAACTAA